ATGAACTTGAAAGTATCTGATTTTTGTTGTTGTTTGGTTTTGAAATTCTGTTGTAAACAGCAGAATTCTACAATTGATTGGGCCTGTGGCTCTCAACCTTGGTGTCAATCAGAACCACCTCAGAGGTACCCACGCTAAAGATGCCAGCCTGTCCTCGCCCCATCCAGTAAGATGTGATGGGTTAAGTGAACTTAACTCAGTATTTCTAGTGTGCGGTTGGGCTACCTGCGGGAGTGCTCTGAGCCCTGCTCTCTGCCTGTCCTTATTTCAGCTATTTCCTCAACAACTTGCCTTCCAGGAAGGGGACAGGGTAGGGATCAGGTGGTCTAGGCAAATGTCACCCAGGTATCGATCCATCAGTGGCCGCACAGAGAACTCAGAAAGCAAGTGAGTTGTGGCAAAATGATTCTCTTTGAACCTAACTCGCTCACTGTTTAGCTAGTTAGGCTTACTCTGTGAAACTATTAACAGTATCATAACAGGTAATGGTTTGGGACAAATTTAGGTTGAAATTTTGTTCCTACCCACCAAATGATGAGACTGCATCTGTACTTCCTTGTTGGTATATGTACCCCAAACCATACGGTGTGTGATAAGCCCATTTTAAGACACAGGTAGCTACAAGGGCTGGGGACACAGCTCAAGAGGTAGAGTGCAAGTGCAAGACCTCAAGTTCTAACCCTGGTGCAAAAAGAATAAGAATGGTTTTAATAAGAATGGTTCTTTTAAGGTGAAGTTCAAAACTACCTCTTGTATCTAGAGAGTTTCAAACACAAATTATTCTTTAGACAGCTCTGTTGTCGCCTGACAGTTCTTGAACAGGCTGGCCAGATTGCAGACAAGTCAGCATCCCTGTGACCGCAGTGTGAGAACTTGCGTGTTTTTATCCTGGTTTGCAAGGCCTTTTGACCTTCACAGACATGGATGAAGCACCCCCGTGGGGCTGGGCAGCAGGAGAAGAAAGAGAACGGCATGGCTGCCAGCCTCAAGAAATTCAGATGTAGGGATGTCGGCCACTTCACTAGGAAGGAGAGGGAATGTTGCCCTTGGAGCCATTCAGGGACAGTGTCCAGAGAGGGCAGGGCTGAATGTGGAACGGACACATGTGCTAAGGGCAGCTTGTACCAGGGGCAGAGGCAGGACAGAGCGGAGTGTTAGGGGAGAGCAAGCTTTGAGGGGTGCTTGGATGGAAGAAGGGCAAGAAGTGAGGCTGGGGACTGAAGGTGACAGTTTGTGAGCCCTGCCAGAGAGTTTGGGCTTTACCCTCCGGGCAGAGGGATCAGATCTTATCAGCTTCATCGAAATGTGGATGAAGTCATGCTACCACATCATTTATTTATTCAACTTAAAACTAGAGTGGCTTGCATATAGGAAATGGCAATGAAACACGTAGTTCTCAACTGTGCCAACTTCTTTTTTTTATTGTTGTGCTGGGGGTACACTGTGGCATTTACAAAAGTTCTCATACGATATCAAATATATCAGACTTGAATTCACCCCCTCCATCCTTCTCCTTTACCCTCCCTCCCCTACTCCTGGAACAGTTTCAACAGGTCTCATTTTTCCATTTACACACATGGTACACAGTATTTGCACATATTCACCCTCCCACTGTACCAACCCCCTAGATAGGACCTGTTCTGCCCTCCTGTTCTCTGATTTTTTAAAAGAAAAAAAAAATGACATTTTTGTTTGTTTAAGATCGCCATACAGGGAGTCTCCTTGTGACATTTCCATATCTATGTGATTATAACCCAATTTGGTTCATGTCGTCTGTTTGTCTCCTTTCTGCCTTAGTCCCCCTCTGACGGTGGCTTCACAGGTTTAAACATTCTGTGTTCACTCCTGTGCGGAAAGTGGGTCACCCATGTCACCTTCTTCACTTCGTGCGAGCTCCACCTTCATTCCCTGCTCCTAATGGAAGTCCCATAGTTCAGATGCTCTTTGACGTGAGTTTTGTTTGAAACAGCTTTGTGTTTGGTTTTGGAGCCTTCTGGAACACTTGTCCTTTTTGTCTGTCGCTGCTCGCAGAACTGGTGAGGCAGTGGTGCGTTCTCTCTGGGGCTACCAAGGCAGCACGGATAAAAATAGGACCAACTTGAAGAATCCCAGCTATTTTCAGATAACAAAGACTGATTTATGTGGGCCCGCTTTGTGCTGTGACACAACACAGAGGAGCTTTTGTGCTGTGATTAGCACGGGTGCTGATGTCAGACCTCTCGTCAAGCAGCAAGCTTTATTCTGTGTCTAAATTGTGCTTTGTACCGTAATCCAGAGCCCCATTGTGTCTTATTAAAGTGTGTGGTGTTTGTAATTGCTTTGCTTTTCTAGGTTCATCCGTGCCAGATTCAATGAGAGTGACTCACTTTGTGACTGAGACAAACATTCACATTTGGACCCTGTTGAAAATAAATAAATGAGAAGCAGGTGCTTCTTGGCTAACTTCTGCGTCTTCATGCTGTAATTTCCTGCCATCTGGGCGTGCATCTTTGGGGTGTCTGCCCAACCCTGTGATTGTCACCCCACTGAGGCTAGTGCACCTCAATTCATGGTACTCATTTATCAGCTATTTCAGTCTCTAAGGACCTTTTGGATTTCAGTGATGTGATTTCAGCAGGGAAGCAGGGGATAGGGTTGGGGAGGCACAGTCAGTCAGAACACAGTGACACAAACTGCAGTAAGAAGACACGATCCTGTCTTTAATGGTTTGTCCTTACCCCGAGCTGTCCCCATGTGTTTGGCTACTGTTTTCTTAGCTCTGGACACATGCATGTCCAGTTTGGGAGTCTTTTTTTTTTTTTTCAAGTGGAAGAGGTTTTCTAAGTTCGTCTTTTTTATTTTGGCCGATAAATAGCGAATTGAATATTCCCCAAGACTTTGCGACTTTATTCTCTTGGGGAAAGTCTATTTATTTACTGCACAGATGCTTCCAGGTACAAGGCACTGTGCTGTACATTGGCTATATAATGACAAATAAAGCAGCCGTGTTTGTTTTCTTCCTGGACTTTTCGGTCTGGTTAGTGGTTGGGTGTAAAACAAGTAAACATAAAGAAAAATTGAGGGGTAGGGGGAATGAAGGAGAGTGATGGAGGGGGAATTCAAGTATGATATATTGATATATTGCAAGAACCTGTGTAAATGCCCCATGTACCCCACCCAGCACAACAATAAGAAAAAGAAAAAGTGATAGAGTGCCTTATCTCTATCAAGTGCTAGAGTGTTTGAGCCCTGAGTTCAAACCCCAGTATTACCAAAAACAAAGCAAAAAAAAAAAGAAAAAGTGAATCGCAGTCGTACAGAAGTCACTACATGGTAATAGGACTCCTAGCACTGTACCCTACTTTTCCTTGGGTTGGGTTGAGGGTGGGCAGGGAAAGGGAGGCCTGAAGCTCAGAGCTGACCAGGCAAAATGAGTGAAGGGATGGATGACAATAACAGATCAAGGATGGACAAAGGAAAGAGCACGAGGAACGTCCCTGAAGCTAGAAAGAGTGTGGCCTCCTATAAGCCTTATTATCAGAAGAGAGGTGACGACTGACAAGAGAGAAAACTGCACTTAACAGCTTAGAGCTGAGCTGGGCGATCCCAGCAGTGCAGCTGTGCGGTGGGGACAGGTGACCCACTCCATCCATGCACCCAGCAGCCTTCGAGGGCCTCACTGAAACACAGCAGAGAGGCTGTGCCTACATTACTTAGTCTGAATCATTGGGGAGTGAATGGGTGAATTATGTTCAATGAATTATGCAGTAAGGCATTTTAGAAAGATTTTCTTGCAAGACATTAAAATTTTAAAACTCATATCTGTATTTAAAGCCAGGCCCTCTGCTATCTGGAGAAATCACTAACTGAAAGACAGAATTCCCTGATGGCCCTAGATAAAGAACACAAGGGTTTGTTTTCTTTTCCCTTCCTTCTCCATTAGATTTTCAGGCTCACTGCTTGATAAGAAAGTAGTCCTACAGGTTTTGTTTTTTGTTCTTTGTTTTTGGTGGTACTGGGGTTTGAACTCAGGGCCTCACATTTGCTAGGCAGACGCTCTACCACTTGAGCCACTTTACCAGCCATCTCTTGAGTTTTTTGAGACAGGACCTCACTCTGTAGCCCAGGAGGGCCTCAAACTGTGACCCTCCTGCTTCTGCCTCCCAAGTGCTGTCACCTTAGGTGTGTGCCATCACACTGGGCAAAGGGGCCTAATTTTACAGAGTTGACATTCATTGACTTTGAAGTAAACAGATGTGTACTAAGTGAAGGCACTTTTATAATCCCGTGCTAAATTCATGAAGTCTAACACCAGGGCTTTTCAAGTTACAAGACATCTGTAGAAATCTCACTCTGCCTTCCCCTCCTGGATACCAGTTCTTTCCTTTTTCTGTTGAGCTGTGGTCAGATTGAGAGTTTAATTGATTTACTGGTGATATTAAAGAACTGCATAACATTCTTAAATCTTTGCAAGTTTTCTAGTAAATTTCTTGTCAAAAGGATCGCAAGCGTTTCCATAAAGGAATGTCTGTCTGCTTAGTAATATCTCTGCAGGTAGGAAGCAAGCCATGAGTTCTCCTTCTTTCTAGGCAAGAAGGCAGAAAAGCTGCTAAGCCATTTTCTCCACCCCACTTGAGAGAGAGAGCGAAAGAGAGGAAAGGAGGGAGGGAAGGAACCCTGTGGTTTAAAATATGTATGACTGTTAGAAAGAAGCTTCATTATGTGTATTTTGTTTGTTTGTTGTGGTGCTGGAGTTTGAACTCAGAACCTTGAGTTTCCTAGGCAGGTGCTCTACCATTTGAGCACGCCCCCGGACCTTTTATACTTCAGTTATTTTGCAGATAGGGTCTCATGTTTTCCCCCCAGGGACCAGCCTCAGACCTCCTCCTCCTACCTGTACCTCCCACCTAGTTGGGATTACAGCTGTGCTTCACCACTCCCTCATGTATGTTCTTTTTAGCATGATATTAAGGCATGACAAAGCTTCTCTAATACTAAGTGGGTATTTGGCTTGTTTCCAGGCGTGGAAGAGGAGATGGTTTGTGCTGCGCAGTGGCCGTTTGACTGGTGACCCGGATGTCTTGGAATACTACAAAAATGATCATGCCAAGAAGCCTATCCGAATCATCGATTTAAATTTGTGTCAACAAGTTGATGCTGGATTGACATTTAACAAAAAAGAGTTTGAAAACAGCTACATTTTTGATATCAACACTATTGACCGGATTTTCTATTTGGTGGCAGACAGTGAAGAGGAGATGAACAAGTGGGTCCGTTGTATTTGTGACATATGTGGGTTTAATCCTACAGAAGAAGGTAAGTTGAGGACTCTGTCATTCAGCTTCAGTTCTTGTTTTGCTACATTTTTAGAAATGTCGTGAAAGTCTTTGTTATTTCAGTTACACACTATAATGTTTTATTTTACAACAGGAACTTGACATTCGGGAAGGGAAACTTTTCACAGGTGTCCCCGGGCAGTACTGGGGCGTGAACCCAGGGCCTCGCACTTGCTAGGCAAATGCTCTTCCACTTGACCCACATCATTAGCGCTTTTTGCTTTAGTTTACTTTTCAGATAGGGTCTTGCATTTTTGCCTGGGGCTGGCCTCCCGCAGTTCTATCTACCCGTCCTACCTCTGCCTCCTGTGCAGTTGAGATTACAGGTGTATGCCACCATGCCCAGCTTGTTTGAGATAGGGCCTTGCCCACTTCCCCTCCCCCAGGGTTGACCTCAAACCACCATACTCTCATCTCTGCATTCTGCACAGCTGGGATTACAGATGTGTTCTACCATACCTGCCCAGCCCTCTTTTTAGAGGTTTTAGAGAGAGAGAGAGAGAGAGAGAGAGAGAGAGAGAGAGACACTTAACCACTCCACAGTGTATAAACAATTGTCCTGAGGACAAAGGTGACAAGAGGACATATTTAAGAGCATTTATTGAGTTCTGATATAAGTATTAAATTGAACCATTAAGCACTGTGGATATTTAACTATTTTTGACCTATTACAGATAGGAAATCTTTTTTGTTTCAGCTCAGTTCTTTAGATTAAGTTTTGAAGTTGTGAAATAACCAGGGTGATTATCAGCACCTATGAAAAGCAAATGAGAACTAGTCACAAAACACAATGAGTAAGTCAAACAATGAGTTTACTTTTTTAGCACAGGTCCTAAGAAGAGCATGAGGGAATGGCAGGGACTCAAGGTTTGGGTAAGAGGAGTAAAGAAAAGGTGTCTAAGCGGAGGTCACTGTAGGCTGCAGAGGAAGTCCTGTTTCTGTGTCCATGAAAGGAGGGGTGCAGAGCCCTCAGGCTTAGGGGATTGGGAAAGAAGGGACTCTGAGATGGAATAGAATTTTACTTGACTGAGCAGAACTGTGAATGGAAAAGGCAAGAGGACAGCTGCTGATAGATGTTGAATGAGGATCAGATTTGGGGTTCCCATCCTAGAAACAGCTGAGTGGTTAGAGGGCTCAAGACGAGCTTTGTAAAGGCAAGTCTTCTTCAAAGACTTTCTTACAGCAATTGGATTGCTTACTCCCTGTCTACTTGTCTACTTTGGTTCTTTTTTAAACACCTGCTCAGAACCTGCATAGAGAACTTCAATACAAATTCAGGTTTACAGAGTCAAGAATCCGAAATAGAGGCAAACTGGGGTCTTTGACTTTACCGTCTTCGCAATCATGGAGTAGTCCATGCTTATGTGTGGCAGATACGTTTCAAGACCCCCAGTGGATGTTTGAACCCCAGGACAGTACCGAGCCCTGTTTGTACTATTTTTTTCCTATGCTTACATGCCGATTAGAGAACTTAATTTATAAATTAGGCACAATAAAGGATTAGCAACTAACAAAATAGAACACTGTGATAAGTAAGAAATTGCCACCATAACTACTCTTTAACTTTGGAGCCATGATTAAACATAAGCACTGTAATACTAGGGCATCGTGACAGTTGCTCTGACAGTCAGGACAGCTGCCATGTGACTCGAAGGCTGGTAACATACACAGGCACATGTACTGGACAAAGGGAGGATTTGTGTCCCAGGCAGGATGGGATGTGGATTGAAACTGGCTGGTGGAGTGACTCAAGTGGTAGATTGCCTACCTTGGAGGGGAAAGGCACTGAGTTCAAACCTCAATACCATAAAAAAAAGAAAAAAGGGATTTGGATTGAAGCAAAACTGTGGCCATCGCTTGGGTGGGGACAGCCGGGGGTGGGAGAAAGCATGCCCATAGGTGCAGCCCTGAAAGGGCAGTGCCATCCAACTCAGCTAAGGCAGGTGGGGGAGTTGTGAACTAGAGATCTTCCCCAAAGCTCTGGTGGTGAAGGGCCTCGAGATTGTGTCATGGTGAGCACTGGTGGCTCACACCTGTAATCCCAGCTACTCAAGGAGGCAGAGATCAGGAAGATCGCAGTTCAAAGCCAGCCTAGGCAACCCATCACAAAAAAGGACTGGTGGAGTGGCTCAAGGTAGGCCTTGAGTTCAAGCCCCCATACCAGAGAGAGAGAAATTGTGTCACAGGAAATAAAGTTTTAGCTTTGTGAAGTTTGTACCTGTGTTCACAGAGTCAAAAGTTCAAGCCACAAATGGCATAGCTATCTTCTTAAGGGAGCAGTGACAAGTGTCAGACCATCGTGTTGGATTTTCCATTTAAGTAATTTGTCATCTCCTAGTCATTTTGCTGCTTCTGCTGTTCCTTTCATGGCTGCCTTTTCCATTTTGAAATTGTTCTGGGGGATGGAAGAGCAGGCTTCTCTGCTGGTTGCTTGTGGAGATGGAGCTGATGTGCTAGGTAGGAGGTGTTCCTCTCTTGTTCTTTTTATAATCCTAAATCTCTTTAACACATTAGATGAGACCCTCTCTTAGAGTCAAGGAATGTGAATTTCTCCTTTTTGGAAGTCCATTCAAGAGTGGATAGAGTTGAGAGCCCCCAACCTAAGAATTTCTAATACTTGTATTCAAGATTAATTTTTCAAGTTTTAAGGTACAGACTCTGCTCTGTTTGGCCATCTTAAAACAGTTCTTACCATCAAGAAGGTGAGTGAGCACCCAGTCAAGTCTGGGAGGAAGAGCTTGGTCTGCTTTAGGAAATGGATTCATCAGTTCATCCAATTACTTGAGTTTGCTGGCATTGTACAAAGCTGTCGCAGTCATTTAACACATAATGTTAGGTGACTAGTTAGGGAGACAAATGCCAAACCTCCCATACACGGAACTGAGCATCTAATGCGAAATGACTCAGAAGAATATCCAAAATAGTGCCATCACCAGCAAGTAGAACTGTGGAAGTCCATAAACACAGTTGTCGACTTCATAGAGGTTAATCTACTAGAAGGCAAATAAATAATCCAGTAATTAATGCCTGTGATGAGCATCTTGCTAAAGAAAAAAATATATACAAGTATAGATGGCAGTCACACTTGATTTAGTCTTAAGAGGGTCATGAAAAATCTAGGTAGCTTCAAATGGGTCTGTGGCCATCACTGATAATGTATTGAGACTTTAGTGGTATATTTTCATTGATTTTAGAATGTAGAGTCACTGGATCACCATGTCTCTTTTCACTTTATAAGCCTACCAGCGTAGGAGGGAAGACGTTTTAAAACTTGAAAGATAGCAGGGCATTGGTGGCTCATGCCTGTACTGTAATCCCAGTTACTCAGGAAGCAGCGATCAGGAGGATCACAGTGCGAGACCAGCCTGGGGAATAGCTCCCAAGACCCTATCTCGAAAAAACCCAACAAAAAAAAGTGCTGCAGAGTGGCTCAAGTAGTGGAACACCTACCTAGCAAGCGTGAGGCTCTGAGTTCAAACCCCAGTACATCCAAACTTGAAAGCTACAGTGACATTTTCTGTGGCAAAACTCCCAGATCCTTATGAACAGATCAGAATTATATTTGGATTGAATGAAACTCTTAATTGTGACCTTTTTATCATCACAGTATACATACGAGGTAGAAGGTTCTGTAAGATCTTTCATAAAACGATTATTCAGATTTGATATGCATAGTTTATGTGTTGGTTACAAGGACAGCTGTGGTAATCACAGATCCTTTTTATCTGCTCATTTAAACAAATCCCTCATGAGTAATTTGCCTGTGCTTTCTACGTTTAGTTCATGAGCTAGATAAATGCAACTGCACTTATATTTCAGATTCTATTATTTACGTTTTTTCACAATTTCTTTCTGGCCATACTCCCAAAGTAGTCAGTTAGAAATATCTTACCATTCTGTATTGAAGTATACATTGAGTTTCTTGGAATAAATCTATAAAAAGTGAATAATTCTTTATTATGTAGCATTAGAGAGCCAAAAATATTATATTGTACTTTGTTATTTTGATTTACAGTACTAATAGTGAAGATTCCCAAAGATTTTTCATTTGCTCTACTCTATGCATTTCTAGTAGCTAAGATTGCAAAATGCCTTAAAGAAAAATAGCCTAGCATGGGCAGAATCCTGGGTTTGAATCCCAGTACAAGAAAGAGAGAGAGAGAGAGAGAGAGAGAGAGAGAGAGAGAGACTAAAGATTTGTGTCAAATACTGAACAGCAGAGAGCTGTTAGTAACTATTGGAGCCATAGTCAGACAGTTTTTTTGTGACAAGGTAAGAATCAAAATGTTTTTTGCTCTGTCTTTAACTTTCCCTGTTTTGTGCTCTCTTGCTTGCAAGCAGACCTCACCACCATCACTCAGCAGTAGCAGGTACTTCTGTCTTTCCCAGATCTGTCCCCTGAGCCCCGCACTCCTTCCATTTCAGTAGGCTGAATGTGCTCCCACTCTTGGCTTGAAAATTGGCTTATACCAGGAGGTGATTTTTTCACTCTGCAAGTTTCAAGCCAGATGTGGGAAGAAGTAGACTGTGCTTGGAGATCCAGTCTGAGAAAATAACTCTCCCCAGCCCCTGGGAGAATAACTAGTTTTACCCTGAAAACAAAAGGCAAGGGGAAAAATCTGACCCGTGTTTTGATTCCAGGAACCTCTCAAAATATCCTTACCGTGTTATTTCCGCTGCCCCCAATGACCACGGCTATTATTGAATCCCCAGAACGCTGGCAGACTGTGTCTGTTTTTAAATTCTAGCTTGTTGAACTGTGTGTAGGTCTGGTGATGCTTTTCGTTAGTGGATTGGAGGATAGGAACTAATTTCTTTTGTTTTTCTTGGAAATGTGTGGACTTATTTTTGTTTCTACAACACCAAGTTGGAAGCTATTAAATTTGCCAAACAAGTGCTGGGAAGCCCAGGACAAGGGCAGGAGGAAGCTCGCTCGCCTCTAGAAAAGCCGCTGGGTCAATTTTAGGATGCAAGATGAAA